AAATGTTTGTAGCTTGAATGTTTTGTTGGAGGATGTTAAGGATTTTGTCAAAAATCTGAATTTTCTTCCAAGGTACGTGCAGTGCTGTTCCAGTGCCTATCTCAGTGTTATCATGGCAATGCTAAATTTCCTTATTGCTCCACAACAGTTAAGAGGTTATTTGGAAAAAGCTGTTGTCCGAAAAGAGTAGGGACAAAGATTTAGTTATCTAAATGTTGTGATATGCTTTCCTTTTATACTGTTAGGGTGAGATTTTCCAAGGACTCAGAGGTAGTAGCCTAACTCCGGTTCAGTTCATGTAGAACTTGGAATTCTGATTCACCTGCTTCTCCTTTATATCTCTTAAAAAAAAAAATCATGTGTCTTTAGTTTATGTGTTTATGCGTTAGTTTTTCAAGTGCATGCAACTTCTCATGTCTAGCAAGTGAGTACGTGAGGGTGGCTAGTGATCCCATACCGTGACGACTCATGCACATGAAATTTAGAAGAATAATCTGGAAAACTAAGACTGGTGTTACAGAAAGAACACTTGGTTTTGTTTCTGTTCTTAAATGCTCATGTCTTAAGTTTAAGCTTGTAATACGTTATTTCAGCAGGTAAGTGAGCTTCACAATCCATTCTTCTCTTACCGTCAAGGTGACTGTGATCTGCGACAGAGAAATGAAGTCTGAGCCAGCGAGGCCCCGTGCTGCAGGTGGTGTTTCCCCAAAGAAAGACAGATGCTAGCTCACCTCTGCCATGTCATGGGATCAGTAAAAAAGGCCCAGATGGGATCCAGAAATAGTCTGTAAAAGTCGTCAGAACTCAAGAATGCAGTACCTCCCCATATCTTTATTTTATGGCAGTCGCTTGATAACAGGGAGATACTGGAAATTTCCTCAGTTCTGCATTGTAGTCTTTTTCTTTGTATCTTAAGTAAAGCTTTGTGGTAATCGGACACCCCCTGAAGATCTTACTCAGGCCAAAAGGAGCCGATAAAAGTGAATTCTAGGCATACAAATTAGTTGTACGTAAATAGCAGCTTTCAAAATAAACAGCACAGTAGCTCCTTTTGCCAGTTAAATATACAGAATAACCTTCAGTATGCTGAACCAAAGGGGGTTTCTTTTTTTTTTTTTTTTTTTAAGAACAAAATCCAGTTTTACTAGGCAAGCTTGGGCTAAATGGTTACAAAAATAATACACAGCAGTGCTTTCAAGCAGAAAACGGTGAAATGGGTGTTGGAAATCGTGTCATTTCCTAGGGTCCTGACATTGCAAGAGGCAGTGACTCTGTGATGAAAGGCCCTTTTTATGCCGTGTGGAGAAAACTGTCATGCAGGTCAACACAAAGATCCAGTATACGCTCAGTATAGTAGCCAAAAAGGTTTTTACTTGGAACATTTCTCTACTGTCTAGACACGATGGAAAAAAAACAGATATCATCTACTCTGCAGATGTTTTAAGGCACTGTGCAGAACTAAACTGAACTATCTGGGTTTTGTGTTGGAGTCCCCTGACACGATAACAAAAACTCCCAGGTTTGAGTGAGCTGTCTATGAGTCCTGGATGAGGGAGAGGGGAATTAGAAGGATTTTCATTACTAAAGTCTTTACTAAAACCTCAGAAAACAAACCCATTCAAGTAATTTTCTACACATCAAAAGTAGTCGGGGGTGAATTTTTCCCTCAGCTTTTACAGTATCGATTTGCTGAGCTTTGGGTGAAAAGCTTTTTGATTTGTAAGTCTATGCTTGTGAAATGAATAAAACTCTTTGAGCAAATACAGCTATAGATTGTGCTCATGCAGAGTACTGCAGACACATGCTTTTGTATGCTATATTTGTGTAATTCTTAATGTGTAGTATTTGCCTTTTTTTTTTTTTTTTTGGTGCTATAAATAATCCCTGAGCACACTTTGCAATACTGTACAGCTGGGTGAGACTGGATATCTAGAAGGTGGGGATGAGTTCTTCTCCAAGCATGATCACTATGTGATCTTGAGTCTGTAATTTCTTGCAGATAAAGATCTCAGTTGTTCATACGGCTCTTGTGAGCCTGTAATTATTCTAAAACACATTAAAGAGGCTGAATTAGAAGGCATTAGCCAAGGGAGGTTTGCCATTAAAAGGTTATATAGATATGTGGTACAGTAATTTTGCATGGCCAGGAGGCTGTAAAACAGAAGTCTGGAATAATCAAGAAGGCAGGTAGGCAAAACTTAAGCTTTCTTCTGTTACGTTCTATTGTACTAGGTGATTGACTTGTCTAACAAGTATGAATATAGAGACAAATAAATACATTTGAAAATTTAGCCCTAAAAATGTGTATGTATTAGAGTTCTGGGTGGACTCATCTTTGAATCTAGAACTCTCAGTTCTTCAAGTTATAACGGCCAGGACCAAAAGAAGGACGTAGATACCAGAAATAGGACTTGAGTTCATACTGCAGAATTCTCTGCTTAGGTCTCACCTAACCCAGCAGTGCATTAAAGCTTCTTTTTTTTTTCCTTTTTTTTTTTTTTTGAGTGTGACTTTCCTTAAGCAGCTCCTCTGCATGTGCTCAGAACAGCAGCCCCAAAGAGGCATGTTCTTCCCAGTTGTGGTGCCTAGAGCCATTTTCATCTCTCTGGTTTGTAGATCACCCTGCAGACCCTGTGCATGGGTCAGATGAATTAGGCATAAAGTTGGAGATATGGGAGTATGGAACAGAGCAGGAGCTGGAGAAAAGCATTGATGTGTTGCTAGAAATACCTGGTAGGTGTGGAGAATGAGAGGTAGCTGTTAATAAAGTATCTTGCACGGAGCATGAAACCTGGCAATGCTGTTCAGTCTGCCCTGGCATGTAACAGAGCATGAGTTGTATAGGTCATGATACCATAACAGGAAGGCATACAGCCCCTGTCTTACACAGAAAATCCATCCCTGCTGATGCCAGTGTGCTATTCACAGTTCTGGAGCCGGGGAGGTCTGTTCAAAATGTGTCTCCCTTTCAGCAGCAATCCAGTGACAGGCTAGCAAAGTGTGAGCTGTGTTGGGTTATTTGAAAGGATGCAGGAGCTCACCCACCAAAGAGACGCTCGCTGTCTCTGGGTCTGTAAGTGGTGAAAACATCTTTTGGGAGACCCAGCATGGAGCAGAAGATAAAATGCAAATGTCTGCCTCCAGTATTTTCTGTTGGCTATCTATCGCGTCTCTCCTGTGTGTTATCTTGAGATAGCCCTCTGCATGCTGCAGCCTGGTAGCTCCAGGGAGGAGTATGCTATGGTGTAAGGTGGGAGAGTTGGATTACTTGGTTGAATTGCTTTCTAATTGGAAGGCTGTTCTACAAATCTCAGAATATTTTTATCTGGAAAGAGAAGCCACTCTAAACGTTAAGTATTTGTAGCTGCTTGTACCCTTGTGTGGGTTCCTTTGATATGGTTAGGATCATTTGCTTAGGCTGTTTTACGACAGTAGGTACTTGGGTTGGTGTTGGTAGTTCATCTCTGTCTGAGCTGGCAGGCTGCTGGAGGCATGGCTGTGTGTAAACCGTTATATTGGGCTGATACACGGCTCTTTGGATACCTCTATATGACAGCAGCAAACCTGGAACGGAAGAATGGAAATAGTGTGCTCCAGCCAGCTAGACCAAGAAGGCATTTCCTCTCTACATAGCTGTAGGATCAGTGGCTTTGATGAGCTGACTGCAGGAGAAATGGGTAGTTTGAGCCACCACACTTAAACTCACTTCTCCCCTCACAGGTTTTTGAGAGACTCACACTGAAGTGTTAGAAGTGAATGTTTTATAGCTACTTGTGAAATGGTGGTTAAGTGAAGAAATTTTGAGAAGGCTTTTCAGTGGCATTCTCAACACTGCTAGCTCCAATACCGATTTGGTAATTAATTGAGTCATAAACATTGCATAGAACATTGGTTGATGTTTGCACTGCACAGAGGTGTGTAATTAGCACATAAGGGGTATGTTATTAGTGCTGCAGGACTGCAAGGCAGTGTTCGAAAGGGAAGCCTGGGAGCTAGACTTTTCAGGGTCCTGCGGCTGTCACTGGCCTTGACTCCACTGTAGCACCAGGCGAACGGGTTTCTGGCTGAAATTTATCAACTTCAACATGCTAGTGGTAGCAGGTGGTGTGGCTGAAAGAGAGTTTTCTGGAGGATTCTGGATGTTTTCTGGAAGCTGGGAGCACCATATGAATGCTGGCAGTCACTGTTGGTATCATCAAGTTTCATTAGAGCTTGTCTCGTCAAGACTTTACTCTTCCACATTCAGGCCGTTTCCAGTATTAAATGTGCTTTGGTATAATCACCTTGTTTGCTGTTTGTAGGCAGCTTGTAGAGCACATGTTCTAACAGAAGTGTTCTGCCTGCCTTCCATTGTGCCCGTTAACATGTTTGCCAGTGATGTGAGTTCTTTTGGTCAGATGTAATTTACTTGAAAACCAGCTTTTAAAAAGTGTGAAGAGCATTCTTTGCAGTGTGTCATTGGCTGAAATAAAGGCACCATGTAAAGATTGCATCTTCTTAGGTGACAAATCTTTACAATATTTGGCAGGTGTAATCACTGCATTTTAAAAATGTAAGTGAGATTTAGATCAAGCTGTGCAATGCTAGAAATATACTAATCATAGTTAATTTTCAGCAACTGAATTGAAGTGACTGTTGGACTGCAATAAACCCTGTGTCTGTCTTTGCACGGTGGAACAGGCTGCAGATAGCGATTTTATCAAGGAAGCCTCCCAGAAAGACAGTGCTGCTGCATTCCTTTCCATTTCACAACATTGCCAGCAGCAGGTTTATTTTATGGGATAGCAGCTTCTGTCCTTGCTTAACGGGGATATAATGGGGAGGCTCTTTCCAAGTTTACTTGGAAGTTGCTTTCTCTGTGCTGAACGAAGACCTTTTAGCTCTTGCTTTTCATAAATACTGCATTCACTCTATTAAAAAGTCTCACATAGCACATTCATTTATGATTTAATGCAAATGGTCCTTCTTTGTGTTTTTAGGGAGTCCTCGAGGTGGCAGCAATGGCAGAATTCAACAATGTCCATTCAGTGACTGAAATGCCAGAAGGAGATGATGCTAAACGCAGTTTCCATCACAGAATGTTCTTGGAACCCCGAGAGAAGAAGAGGAGCATGAAGGCTCTGGTGGTTAAGCAAGCAAAGAAAAGTTGTAGCTGCACTCCAGCCAAAGTTAAAGACTGTATTTTCAGTTTCTTTCCTGTCTTGCAGTGGCTTCCTAAATACAAACTGAGAGAATACCTACTGGGAGACATAATGTCTGGTGTGATTGTGGGGGTCTTACTAGTCCCTCAGTCAATTGCATATTCTCTCTTGGCTGGACAGGAGCCTATTTATGGCCTTTATACATCCTTTTTCGCTAGCATTATTTATTTCATGTTTGGAACCTCCCGCCACATCTCAGTTGGCATCTTTGGTGTGCTTTCCCTGATGGTGGGACAAGTGGTGGATCGTGAAGTAGAGCGAGCTGGCTATGACTTAGAGCCAGCTGCGCTCAGTGTCCTCACAGGTACAGCAGCATATGTAAACACCACCGTTTCACCTGTGAATCAGACATTGCAGAAGCTGCCCTGTGATAAAAGCTGCTATGCAATTACAGTGGGAGCCACCATGACCTTCATAGCTGGAGTTTATCAGGTAAGAGGAGGTGGACAAACAGGTATTCTGTGGAAATACTTTTAGCTTGTTCATTAGGTGATTGTCCACATGAGCAACCAGCTGGGCTTGCATCCCAGGGGAGTGGACACAGAGGACTGGAGGTCTCCTGTTACTGTGGCGCAAGAAACTCCTCTGTGTCCTCTCCTTTTTTTAGTTTTGTGCTTGCATTGCTGCTCTGTTGGGGACTGTAAGGATCCGCACGTAACCGCCTGCTGCACTCATACAATCTGCTCACCACCTTCCTTGCCGTGGCCTGAAGCTTTTTTGGTTTTTGGGTTGGTTTGTGGTTTGGTTTTTTTTTTTTTGCTGGCTTGTAGCTTAGGCCTCTGTTTCACTGGGCCAAAATGTGGTGTGTCAGCTTTAATTCCAGACTTCAGTAATTTGCCTTTTCTTTTATCAAAAAATAATCTGGACAGTAAAAGTATATCCAGTTTCTTTTTGTCACTATGCTTGTAAAACTTTGCTGTTTGCCCATTCAAAGCCAGAACAGTGCCATTGTGTGAAAAGGATGCTACTGAGATGATAAAATATATTTGAAATAAAACTTTAAATTATTGCCATATTAAAATATATAACTCAACAATATTTTACCACTCTGTCTCTACTTACTTCCTAGAATTCACTGCTTCTGAAATTAAAGCAGGTGTCTTTGTTTTTAGAGTGTAATGCATTAACCAGGATGGGTTTAGTTTTAACGGTACTGCAGAGCTGTGGTATTTCAGTTTGTGAGTTCACATTAATTTATTCTTACAGTGACCTCCAGGGTCATAACTAATCAAACTGTATAGCAGCAGAAAAGGAAACGTACCTGTGATACTCTAAAACACTGGTTTTAGACAGAACCTGGGACTTTTTCTTGTGCTGTAAGTTAGTGTTGAGTAATTTCAGAAATATCCTGAGACTCCTGAGGTACAGTGGATTTTGTGTTTCATCACTGTAGGATGGATGCAATTTTGGAGTTGTTAATTGCACTTAATATTCTTTGCAAGTACAAGTACGGTTAAGTTTCTTTATATGCGGAAGTCAGACTACTTCGTCTTAAGTCCCTCTGAATGTTAGGCATATTCTATTTGTTCTATTTGCTGTCTATCTGCCTGCTGACCAACAGGCCTTCACACTCTCAAACATATTATTTTTTTTTATTGGAAGCTCCGACCAAAATCACATATTCTTTAAAATCAAATTGCAAAAAGCAAACCTGCTCACACCAGTTGCCTACAGCATAAATAGGTAAATACAATTACTGCCTATATTTTACAGTTAGAAAAACCTTGAATTAACTTAATTACCAAGGTTGTGAGGGACCATTTTTTGGAGCTTGGCTCTGAGCTGATGTCTAGTCGGTTTGGGTCCCAGCCCTGCCTTCTCTTCAGTAATGCTTGCAGTTCTTATGAAGTTTCCAGCCATGATCCTGTCCTCCTTTATTTTGCCTTAACTACCTAATAGGATATATTAAATTGACACTACTTAGAGTTTAATACCTGTAAGTGCTTGCCTGCAGTCTTCAGATAACATTGTAGATATCCCTGTTGTCCAGCGCAGGGAATTAAAAGGTTCTAGCAAACTGCTGGGAAAAGTTCCATGCTCCATTTCCCATGAAGGTTGATGGGGAGGAAGGGACGTTTACCAGGTGTGAAGATGCATGTGTAGAGTAGGTGTCCATAAAACCAGTCATTCCCATGAGAGAGCACCAAGGATTTGTCCATTCAACTAGCATTAATAAAATGAATGACAAGACACTTTAAAAATTTATCTGTATTTGTATAATCTGCATCACAAGAGTTTGCAGCTCATATACTTTCTGACTCAGATGCACCAAACTTTATGCAGTGCAAAGTACAGTTGTAATGCCGTAAGCCATATTTTTATTTCAGGATGTGAGCTCCAGTGTAAGACAAACAAAGACAACCAAAAAAGTTTTGGATCCCTGCAGCGTTCACAGAGATTATAAGAACTTGAAAGAAATGGCAAAAGCAGCCAGTATTTCAAAAGCTTTTTTTCCCAGGCTTTCTTTTTTGCTTGCTAGGCTAACTAGAAGTTACAGCTGAACTGATGAGCAAACAATAAACATAGGTTCAGGGTACAAAGACCCCCCAAAAAGCCTGCTCTGTGTTAGAAAACCATTTTGTTTAAGTGCAATGCACCAGGAGCAGCTGAATGCTGGAGTCTGTTTTCTCCATGCTCAGGCCATGCCTTGTCCTCCAGGGCCATGCACAGTGGGTTGTTGGTTTTTTTATCCCACCTCCCTTGAGAGCCCCGTAGTGATGACATCTGCAAGATTTGCATCCTAATCTATTGTGTGTGGTTGATTCCTTCCAGGTGGCCATGGGTTTCTTTCAAGTGGGCTTTGTCTCGGTATACCTCTCCGATTCATTGCTGAGTGGATTTGTCACAGGTGCCTCCTTCACCATCCTAACCTCACAAGCCAAGTATCTCCTGGGCCTAGACATTCCACGGAGCAATGGCATTGGCTCCCTCATAGTCACGTGGATAAACATCTTCAGAAACATACACAAAACCAACATCTGTGATCTCATCACCAGCTGCTTATGCTTTCTTGTACTTATTCCAACCAAAGAGTTTAATGAACATTTTAAATCCAGGCTCAAGGCTCCAATGCCGATTGAACTAGTCGTGATCGTGGCGGCTACTCTGGCATCTCACTTTGGGAAGCTGAGAGAGACTTACGGCTCGAGCGTTGCTGGACACATCCCAACTGGGTTTCTGCCACCCCGCCCTCCAGACTGGAACCTGATTCCTAATGTGGCTTTGGATGCTATCCCCATAGCTGTTATTGGCTTTGCCATCACTGTCTCCCTCTCAGAGATGTTTGCCAAGAAGCATGGTTACTCTGTGAAGGCCAACCAGGAAATGTATGCCATTGGCTTCTGCAACATCATTCCCTCTTTCTTCCATTGCTTCACAACAAGTGCAGCTCTTGCCAAGACTCTTGTCAAAGAGTCCACAGGCTGTAGGACACAAATGTCTGGCATGGTGACTAGTTTGGTAATCCTATTAGTCCTCCTTGTGATTGCACCTTTATTTTATTCCCTTCAGAAGTGTGTCCTTGCTGTCATAACCATTGTAAACCTCAGAGGAGCCCTGCGGAAGTTCAAGGACCTGCCAAAAATGTGGCATTTGAGCAGAGTGGACACAGTGATTTGGCTAGTTACTATGGCAGCCTCAGCACTCATCAGTACTGAGATTGGGCTTTTGGTTGGTGTTTGCTTCTCTATGCTCTGTGTCATTTTCCGAACTCAGAGACCGGAGGCACCGCTGCTTGGCTGGGTGGCAGAGTCTGAGACGTACGAGTCCCTGTCTGCTTACAAGAACTTGCAAACCAAGCCAGGAATCGTGGTGTTCCGTTTCGAAGCGCCCCTCTACTACATCAACAAAGAGTGCTTTAAATCCACCCTCTACAAGCAAACTGGGGTCAACCCAGTCTGGGTGAAGGCGGCAAAGAAAAAGGCAGCAAAAAGAATGCTTAGAGAGAAAGAGGTGGATTCTGGTGGCAACCAGACCAGCATCTCCATGGATTTTGTCTCTGAACCTCTGGGGTTTCACACAATAGTGATTGACTGTTGTGCAGTACAGTTTCTGGACACGGCAGGAATACGCACGCTCAAAGAGGTCTGCAAGGACTACAGGGAGATAGATGTCCAGGTGCTACTGGCCCAGTGCAATCCTTCGGTGAGGAGTTCCCTGATCCGAGGAGAATTCTTTCAAGAGGGGGAGGACCACCTTCTCTTCCACAGTGTGCACCAGGCTGTGGACTTTGCATTGGGTGCCCAGGAGCATGGTGGGACCAGCACTTCTAAGAACTAGTTGTGGAAAGGCAGAAAGTTGGAACAAAGCCTGGGAAAAAATGACTGTGGGTCTGTATGTCTATGCAATATATATGCACTCAGATGAAAAGAGGCAGGGTGGTGGTTAACACACTGGTTGCTATGCAGTCTCTTTTGATGCTTTAAATTTACCGGCCGGGTATAGTGATTCAATAGATGGTATTGAATGAAGGCAATTCTTAACTTGATTATGGCCAATCTGTGAATCTAAGAGTTTTCATATAGTTGTTCATCTCATTTCTCTTGAACTTTCCTGGTCTCAGTTTCCCTCTGAGTTTTGAACATCAGCATTGAAGTCTTTATTGCAACCCTGTCTTTGTGGATGGGATGGGATTTTGAAGTAGTCGGGGTATCCTGTTCAGACAAATAATGAAAGGCAACTCACTTCTTTTCCCTCATTCTGGCATTGATTTTCCATATCACCACAACCTTATATTTTCTAAGGAATGACTGGCAGGGACTCTTTGCGCTGGTCTTCACTGTGGAGTGATTGGTTGATGATTTTGTAATTTCCTTGAATTTAAGACAGATAGATAAATAAAATGTAAACATGCATGAGAAGGTCTTAATGAATAGCTTCTTACTACCTATCACTTTCAGAGGCTTTGCCGTTGTCTCCTGAGAGCCTAATGCAGCCAGGCAATGAGGGCATGATTGTCTCATTTCTACATGGGTCTTTATGTGCCAGGAAAGTTTGCCTCTTCAGCCTGAATTTTTTTTGGAATTACTTTTATTCAGGGGTGACTGTTTAGAAGTCTGATTCATGCTTATGGTCAATCATTTGTTTTCCTAATATTTAGGAGCATTGTGGACATTAGATAGGAAAAATCTCTTAATTCTTGAGTTTCAACAGAAAACAGTCCCTTATAGCCAGTTTTACATGCCAGGCAGACAGAATCACAGGCAGCAAAATGAAAAGGGCCAAATAGATTGTCTGTATCCGTCTGTCCAAAGTTGTCCACGTCACACAGAGTTCATGTGTGAATGCAGGTTTTATTGACCATAGCCCCTTTACGCATGCTCTGTCATGGACTTTATGTAATGGGGATGGACAGGCCAAGAAATACAGCCATTAGAAAAGGAGCCAGAGAAGCTGTTTGCTGAACATTATTTCACCATGTTAGTGTAAATAAAACTTTCTATTTCGATTTTAAATTATACAGAACAGCAAAGAGTGCCTGTTCTTCATCCTAAAATACAAGCACTGGGTAGGAAGAGGTTCTTTTTTCTTACACCAGTAGAATACAATTATGAAGGTAGAACTAAGAGGTTAACAGTTTTTACTGAGTACCAGCTATACATAGCACACAGTACATCCTTGGAAGATGGTGGTTTCTCCCTGGGGAGTTTACAGTCTGAATTGCAGGTTCTTGATAGCTTTTAAAAGGGAAAAGGTGCCGTATACAGGCAGTATTTTCATCCTTAATAAGTCAAAAATAATGAGTCAGGAGTCAAAAAAGGAATAAAATGCAATATGAATTGTGAAATGTTTTCTAAATAGAAATGTGTTTTGAGTTTAGGGTTGTTTTCTTTTTTTTTTCTGACCTAGGACCAGTAGCTATTCTCTTCTTTCTATGAAAGCTGAAACGCCACATATCACCTCACTGTAGGAGCTGGGACCTCAAGAGAAGGACTAGATAGCAGAAAGATAAGTCCCAGGACCTGGCAACTTTTACATGTTAACTGAACTTACTACATTTTTTTTTTAGGGACACGATAGTAGCGTGTAGAAATGCTGGGGGAGGGGGGAGTGGTGGCTGTAGCATATATTGGAAAGCATTACATGTTCTAGAACTGGCGTTGTTGAGGAAACAAGTCTCCAAGTATCAGAGAGAAAATGCTAAAGCTCATGCAGTATTCAAAAAATGCAAATGCTGTTCTTTCTCAGCCTTAAGGCCTGTTTATACAAGGAGGTGAATCTCAAATAACTACTGCTGAATTTTTTCTTTTCTGCAGTAACCTCCTGCATGAACTTTTTTGTTCTGGGCGAAGAATCCCTTATGCAGTTTAGATAATTACAATTACTGAATTGGTATTACCACAGTGGATTAGCCTAAGCTATGTGAAAGCAGTGAGCGGGGTTCACACCTATGCAAGGCGTGAGTGCAGGATGGTAATTTTAATTCCTCGTAGTACCTGTTTTGTGCTGAGTTCCCGTTCAGAGCCCATGGTTTGGTGTGGAGAGAGAGCTGGCACACCTGTGGCAGCTCCTGCTGCTGGCTGTCAGCTTGGGAGGCTTGTCCCCGCAGAGGTTTGTGCCTGGCTTGTCCCCACAGGGTTTATGCCTGCCCACTGACAGGCTGGCTGGTGGCAGGGGAGCCGTGGGGACCTATGCATGTGCATTCAGCTGGTGGCAATGCTGTGGCCTGGGGGAGTCCCTTTTCAGCACAGGTTGTTCCCATTACCAGAAAGCACCTCTAGAAGTTTGAACAAAAGCCTTGATACCATCTTTAAATGCTGATTTTAACTAATATTTTTCAAGAGAGGAGAACAGTGCTAAAAGCGGTGCCTTCTTGTCAAAGCCCTGATGAAAACTCACAGCACAGCAGACAATTAGCACTGTATGTTGTTCTTGCAAATGTACCCGCAGCTGCCTGTTCTCGTCCCTTTGGCCTTCAGGTGTGGGCAGTGGAGAGGGAGAGGTGGAATGAGCAGCCAGCTGGGAGACTTCCTCTAAGGCAGGTCAGCCGCCGGTGGGACAGAAGTGAAGCAGAAATTGCTCTGGGTGATTCTTTTCTCTTTACACTCACAACTCCTCTCTCACATACTTTTTCCATGCTGCCCAGGTGGAGATTTTTTGACCTGTGACCATGCATAGGTTTGTGTAGCCAAATTCTAACAGAGAAGGCGAAAACACTAATTATTTATTAAAAGATGTTTTTTTGAATCCGTGTCCACCTGTACCAGGAAGGGAGGAATAGCAATGTTACTTCCAAGAAGTACGCACTTTCCACAGCTAGCAGGATGCATTTGTGTAGCTCCTGGGTATCTGGTTACATAAAAGCACAATAAAACAGCCATAAATTGATTTTCAAATAATTAATTTAGATTACAGCTAAATGATATACTGTAGTGATTTATGTTTAGCTAGAGCACATCATGTTTGGACTCAGTGCTGTTTGTGCAGCAATGACTGGCAATATAGCCTCCAAATTCCGTTTCAAGCAAAACACAAGAAAACGTATTACAGTGGAACAGCAAAAGCAGCTAGCCAACAGAAAGAACAACTTGTAATGTTCTTATTTAAGATAATGTCTAGAGGTCTTAGCATTAATAAGTCTATATTAATGCACACAGCCTTGGTTAAAAGGGAACAGAAATAAATGCCGTTTGCCAGAGAGTTCAGTATAATAGAGAGTCCTTTGGAATTAACCAAAGATTAGAGCTTATCGTGGCTGGAATGTCTTTAAACAGTGGGTTTTCAGCCATTTTCCTTATAGGCCTAGAGTAATTTTTAACAGAGACATGAAGCTGATATAAGCCTACTGGAAAGAAGCATGTTTTGGTTGAATATGTTTAAGGACCCTTTAGAAGTAATCCAATTTCACCTTTAGGGATCAGGGACCACTGATTGAAAACTCTTGCCCTAAAGAATTTGTTTTATAAAGGATTTTCATATGTATACATACATATATATATGTGTGTGTGTACATATATATACTTTTTGCTGCTGTATGATGGATGCAGCAGCTATATATGTATCCAGTTATGCTTTTGCAGTACTCCTGTTTCTGCCCTGGAAAGGGCTCTTCTGCCTTCTACTGTTTTAAATGAACAGTGGAAAACGTGCCAGATTTTATAAGGAGAAATCTGCCATACCCTCTGCTGTCTATGCCTTCTCTTATCCCTGCCTCACAGCTTAATTTGTAGTCTATAGGAAGAGGGAATCTCAGAACGATTGGTTTTGGGTTTATGCGTCTGTCTGGAACAGGAACGTTCATTCCAGGTGCAACCTTCAGAACACCAGGCCAGACTGGAAGATGGTATAAATTAGTTGATCTCCATTCCCAAATGTACTAATCAGCAATTATCAGTCTAAATGAAGAATTAAGACATCATTAACACATTCATTAATGACAACAACACAGCATTGAGGAAATGATCACTCACAGTCTCAGCTATACTAAATACTCCTGGAAATGTCTTTAGTAGTCTCCTGATAAATGTCAGGCTCTTTTTTTACATTTATTGCTACTATAGATGGTGGCGTCAGTTCCTCCTAATGTGGCAGTTGCACTAATAATTGTTTCACTTGTGTGAATGTTTTGACATGGAAATAATTTTCAGTCCATTTCATAAAACAGGGAAAGGTACTGCAGTGGGGCACTTGGTGCTTATTTTTGGATTTATAATGACATTGCCAATCTTAGTCTTGTGCGATTGAGCGATCCTGATTTCCTTGTAAGCCATTGCAGTTCCAGCTCCTCCTCTCTAATTCACTGTGAGACCCACCACCACCTTCTTAACACTTCTTTCCATGTTTTGCTGTAGGACGTTGCATATGATTGACTGTAAATATAAGAATCACTGCCTTTGTGTATGTTGTTTTCATGCCAGATCTTTTGATAAGGCTAAAGCTCCTGAATAGAGTGTTGAACAACCCCAAAACCCCACCAGTCCTCTGGGTGCTGGGGCTGGGAGAAAGGGTGCTGTGGGCAGCTGGCAGGGGAGCACCCTGCGTGTTCCCCCACAAGCACACTGGAGCCTTGGCCTGGTGTGGGGCTGTGCGAGGGTTTGTGTAGCTGCAGCAGTAACGGTGCCAGCTGGGAACGACAGATTAACCTGAAGGTGTCTATTCTGGGGCTGCTGCAACGCGCAGCCACGTGCCTTCCTCCATAACAAGTGTAATAATAACACAGGACCTAGTTCCTGCTCGGTGCTGCTGCGTGAGTCACTGTCCCAAACGACATATATAAGGGATTTCTGTTTTCATGCTGATTTATTTTTATCAAATTTTCATCTGAGTCTGCACGTGGCTCT